GTTGCGAAATTGATCTCATATCTCATTTTCATTATTACTTCATTTAATATATTATTTTCTCATATTAAATTATTTATTTTTCATGTCCAAAAAACAAATTGAAGATAAATAATTTTTTTTCTTTTTTTTATTATTAGGAAAAAAAACAACTAACAACATAAACGTTTACACTTTTCATTTCTATTAATTATATATTTATACATGTAGTTAACTATGTATCCAAATGTACTTATCAAGATTTTTCATTTCTATTGATTTATAGTTAACTATGTATCTAAATATACTTATATTTCTAGTTAATTTTTTTCACAAACAGTCAACTATACTTGTTATATTTATCAATAGTTTACTCTTAACTACTCACTCTCTTTGTGTATAATTGAGTATAGTTAGATATATACTAACTATATAACCACATGTAGTTATATAGTTAACTATACTCACTAGTTACATTCACGAATAGTTTACTATTTTCTATATACTTAGAAATATAAATAACTATATTTAAATGTAGTTAATTACATGTTCATGTATAGTTAACTATATATAAACATATAGTTGTCTATTAGTTAACTTTATTCATAAGCTAACAACTATGGGGGCGATTGGTTTGGACTTTTATTTGTGGCTGTCACTTTAAAATAAAACTGTAAGAAAAATGGCTGTGACTTTTTTATTTAAATATGGCTGTGACTTTAAAAAAAATAAAAGTCATCAATTGTTGGCTTTTAAAAAAATCATGAATCGTAGAACAAAAATACAATATCTAGACTGTGAGAAATTTAACAAACTTTGAGTGATTATAGGAGAGTTAAAGTGTGATTGGAATAATTTGACTTTAATTTTTTTTTTTAAGTCACAGTTCTAAAAGTGCTCTCCAATCACCCCCTATATTTGTTATATTCACAAATAGTTCACTATTCAATTATACTTGTTATATTTTACAAATAAACCACTATTTATGTTAATAATATCTAATTTTACTATATAATTTATATATTCAAAGTTTTAAAAAATAATCATTTACTAGAAAAAGAAAAAAAATGTAGAAAAAACGAAAACAC